GAAGCCTCTCGCCGCCCCTGAGCCTCTGGCCTGTACTCCAGTTCTGTATGCACAAATAAAATAAATCTTAAAAAAAAAAATTCTGCATGATCTGACCTATCTTTTTTAATGTTGGAAGTTAACAAAACTTAGAGGTAGAGACATATTTTCCTTGTTTATCTCCACCTTGACCCCTCCCTCCAAAATTACATACTATTTTGCACATAAGTGACATTGCGTAAATTCCCCCTGCTTGATTTTAAATTTTCAGTCATATGATGTTCTTTTCAAGAAAACTGATTGTGGAAGCATACACAGTGCACTAGTGATGATAAGCAGTTGCTATTGATGAAGCAGAGGAGGCAAAAAAAAAAAAGTTGAATGAATGAGAAATAAACTTCAGTTGAAATGAGAAAGTATTTAATTTAGCTTTTAAAACTTATTTTCTGATATGAAGCTTATAAGATACTAGGAGACAATATCAAGGGAGCCTGGATTTTCTTTTCTTCTATAGATTAATGATGCTTGCAAGTTTTCTAAGATAGACCATCCACTTATTTTAAGACTGTATTTTTGACTACGGATCTAAAGTCTAATATGAGATACATTTTTTTTTAAAATAAGGATTTTTTACCACAAGAAATTACAATGAGAGTGTGAAGAATTCCTGTATACCACTCACCCAGTTTTTATCATTGCCAGCATCATACATTACAAAGGAAAATTTGTCAAAACAAAGAAAATGAAGTAGGTAGGTAGCTATTAACTAAACTCTGGACTTTATTTGGATTTTCCCAGTTTCTCCAGTTATATCTTCTTTCTTCCTTAAGTGAGATAGCCTTTGATTTTTTTTTTTTAAGACTTATTGTTATTTTTTATGCATAGAAGGACTGGGGTGTAGGGCAGAGGTGCAGGAGGTGAGAGGATTCACCACAGACAGAGTGGGGAGAACTGGCAGATCTAGCGAAATACACTGTTGAGGGGAGCAGTGGGCAAGAAAGGAGTGTTCTTCTGGGTCATGTGGATCACCTCCCTGGCAGGGGATTGAACTCATGCCACAGTGGCTGGTGATAAGTGCTGAGACTTTAAGCCTTGTGCCAACAGGAAGGCCCCCCTTTTGATGTTTTTTGGTAAGTGTCTAACATATTGAGAGTGTATATAAAGATTAAGAGTGTATAACATATTGAGAGTGTATATAAAAATCTGAGTAGAATTACATATGTCTATAGCTGACTGGGCCCTTCATCTTGATTTTCCAATCAATTAGACATGAATATGACTCCTAGCTTGTCCACTTTAAAAAGATGTGTATCTTTGGACAAATTGTTCAATAACACCACACCATAGTTTCCACATTTGTAAAATGTGGGTCTCTCCAACTGTGCTTCTTCCTGAAACCATTCATAGTAAATTCATGTTGAGAAATTATGATTTTAAATAGGAAAGTATCCTTTTATATTCATTAAATTAATATAATGATAGTGTAACTGAGTGGTCACTAGGAGAAGGGAAGTTCCAGGTTCCCTGCCCCACCCAGAAGGAGGGTGGAACTGAGCAGAGAAAAAGGAGAGAGAAGAAGAGAGAAGGAAGGCAGATGGAGAAGGAGACCTAAGGAAGCCACATGGAGCAGCAAGCATGTGATGAAGAAACCGGGCTTGTTTCCTGACCCTGGACTGGTTAAGGCAGATGTGGGTGAGATACCTGTAGGGAGGTGACCATGGCAGTGTTTATATTGATTCTGATTTTGCTCTTTTCCTCCCAGATTTGTCTGGCCATTTCTGACCCTTTTCCATGGGTCCTGGCCAGAAGGTGCTTTAGTCTTGTGGCAGGCTTTCAGGCCTTGCTTTGGGCCAATCCCTTTTGGGTTGACTTTTGCCCACGAGGGGATGGGGAACTTCAGGTGTTTGATTTAGAAGTTACATTCTTTGTGTTCCATATTGTATATTCACTGTATTAAAGTCACTTTTCATTAAAGCTTTATATATTTTGTCTTGTTGCGGCGGATGGCAGAACCCACTTAGAGCAGGCAGGTTTTGGGGCTTCAAGGGTGCCTCTCTCTGAATTGAGGTGCCCTATAACAATAGCACTCTAAACAGAATACCTGTGATGATTTACTTATGTTCAACTAGTGTAAACACTCTCCCCTTGACCAAACTGTAGTCGAACCCGTTTCAGTCCTCTTCTCAACTAAGAATTGCACTTTACTCTATCTGGAGCTACTAACTCCTTTTGTATCAAGAATCCTAAGTATTTTAGAGAGAATCCCCCCTACTCTGGTTTTATTTAACTATAGTCATAACAGAAATATGTTCTGAAAAATGCATTACTACGTGATTTTGTTTGTAAATGTTATGGAGTGTAATAACCAAATGTAAATAAATGATAGAGCCTACTACACATGTAAACTATGTGAGGTAACCTGTTGGGACCACTATCAGATATGTGATCCATCATACACAAGTTATCATTAAGCAACACATGATTATGTGGCTAATGAAGTTCTAATATGAATGTCATTTTTACTCTAGAGCTATAAGACAAATTTCACTTGCAAGTAGCACAAAATATGTAGGGCTTAAAAACATTCTAAATGACTTAAGAGTTAAACAGAATTCGAATAACGGGGTTTTCAGAAATTACATCTAAAGTAGCGAGCACTAGCACTCCAACCTCAAAATAACCACCCTGATGTGACAAATTGTGCAGCAAAGAAATTATAAAGAGCTGTGCTCCATTCTGATTTAGAAACCAGAGCTATGAGTTTGAATACCAGCAAACCTAAGTATTATTCAAGACGTTATGGTCAGTGCAGAAATTGACACTAACACTGAACACTGTAAAATATCTAAGTCCTACTATCCTTGGTGTTTAGTAGTTTTTCATCCACCAACTACCTGTAAGATATCAAACTGTCTTAGTTATGAGAGCTGTGTCTATAAACTAAACTGACAACAGGGAAAAAGGTGTACAAATTTATTAACTTCTAATATTATTGCACCCGGGTATGGTAAGGGTGGGGGGAAAGCAGTGAGGTTTGAGCACTTACACTTTTTCAATAGGGAAGGGGAAGGAAGATGTTCCATATACGAAATAATTTTTTGAGAAATGAATGGATCTTCAGAACAAATGGGAGTAGTGATAGCTTGAGACAAGATTTGTCCATTTGTGGAGTAGATTTCTCATTTCCTTTTCTGAGCTAAGAGCTAAGAGTCAGTCAGTCTTTCCTGGTTGATGAGACTGGGGGGGGGGATTTATGCTAACTAAATTCCTTTTGGAAGATCTCTCTTTAAATAGTCCAGGGAACTTCAGAGAAAACCTGTTTTTTCAAATGTGTGGAGTTCAAAATAATCAATGTTTCCAAATGGCATATTGAGGGGTAGCATGCCCTGAATTCCTTTACCTCCCACCTCAGCTTCTTAACTACAACCACCACTTGTCCTTGCTATAATCAGATTTGCCCCTTACCTCTTTCTCCTATGAGTATAATCTTGACCTATTATAACAATCCTGGAAAAAAAGTCCCTTACTGTTTTAACAATTGTCAGAGTACACTTTTGGCATTAACAATGTAATTAATTAGCATCAGTTTACTATACCTGACTTGTGAAAAAATTTTAAGCAAATTTTAATAAAACTCAAAAACATTTTTGTTTTGTTTCATATAGCATACATGTTGAAATGCATTGCCCTTCCATATATACCCTTTCTCAAAATATTCAGCACTTTTCTAATTATGACTATGCATTGACTCCCCACTTACCAGCTCCCACTAATCCCAGACACACAAAGTAACTTGAATGGGAAACATTCAATTTTACATTCTTCTTAAATGACTAGGGAGTATGTTTGTCTCTGTCCATCAACACACATTTTACTTACTTTTTTCAGGGCTGACTCCATTCTGATTTCTCTGTCACCACTGGAGGAGTGTCTGGCACATTAGAAGAGCTCAAGAAAAAGCTCTAAATATTAATATTATTATTATTTTTAATAAGACCTAAACTTAAACATCTCAACCTTCCATTTCCTAGTCTTCATTCTGTCCTAGGTTGCTTTCTTACTCAACAACGTTTTTATCTCCAAGTTGAGGTGACTTGCAAACTGCGGAGTGAAACTGAAACTTTCTAAAATCATCAAGAGACAGTTCAAGTACACCAGAATTTTAAGGATGAAGACTTTATAAGTATCCACTGAGTGATGTAATGAAGTGTAAAAATATATATATAGATCAAGTAGGTGCTCATGAAATGTAGGTCCCTTTCTTTTCTTTTTTAAGATTTATTTATTTTCTTTTTATGGATGACAATGAGGCCCAGAAAGATAAGCAGTCACAGCTAAGTTCTAATGCAGTTGGGGGGAGGGGGGTAGCGACCGCCTTCGGTTTGTGTCACCCTTCTCTTTTCCCTGCTGCTCATTTGCTTATGTGGTTTAATGGTCCACCTAAACAAATTCAAGAAACTGTATTTGGCACCTGTCAAGCCCCCCAGATAAGGTAACACTCAGAGAAAAATATTTTGGTGAAGTGTTAACAGTTTTGTTGCCTTCCCCCAAATTTTATTGCATTTGATATGCCAACATGTACTGTCCATCGTTTTAAGACTCACAGTATCATATCGAGAAAGGACCATTGATTTTTTAGGCCTCAGCCTTGTTCAGGGCCTTGATAAGCTTTTACCGGTTAAAAAGAGCTCTTCGGTTGGTAACTTCTTCCAGCCTAGAATCGTATTATATAGTCTTCGGATGTTCTTAGTTAAACTTTACCCAATATTGGCACCGACCGGGTGAGGATTATCACTCGTCGCTATAAACATACATCAGAATTTCATCAAGAATTCAGGATGCGTCCAGAAGCTATAGAAGGCAACGCTTTGAAATCCATCCCGGGCTACGGAAACCCGGTGGAAAACCACCTGGCTGAGCAACCAAGATTTCGAAGGGGTGGGGCTTGGGGCAGGCCGACCCGGAGAACCCAGCGCGAGAATGCTCTCGGCGCATGCGCACCGCTGAACGGTAACTTCCACTTGCGAGATGGGGGAGGCGAGTGAGAAGCAGTCTAGTTTCTGACTATTCGTTCTCAACCGAAACTAGGTTGTGAAAAGTTCCGTGAACAACGGGAGGACGTTCTCCTCCGAGCTCAAGATTAAGGACGCCTGGCATGCAGCGCCCCAGCAGGAGGTGACTTCTCGTCGTTTTCCCCGTCCCTTGGGACTTTGGTGGTCTAGTCCATTCCGCCGACTTTCGAGACCTCGCAGCGGGTCGGGGATCGAAGGATTGGGCCAATTGCGGCTGAAACGTCTTTGGAAGGAGGAAGGGGTTAAGGGTGCAACCCTTTGAGTTCCGCCTCTCCCTCTTCGAGGCGGCGGTGGGGAAGGGGGACGAACGCTGTACAGCCCTAGAAAGCCGACGGATCACACCTCCCCGTGCGAACTGCCGGGAGGGCGGCGGGAAAGGGGCAAGACGGGAGTAGGGAAGGGGCAGGAGCCGGGCAGCCGCGCGGGAGGGCGCGCGCGCGCGCCCCTTTTTCAGCAGTGTGGCGGGGTCGCACGCTCGCCCGCCTCGGCGGCTGGGCGCGGTTTGCGACAGTGGGGGGAGCGGTGGCGGTGGCGGCGGCAGCGGCAACTTTGCGGCAAGCTCGGGCCGGGCTTGCTTGACGGCGGTGTGGCGGAGGCCCCGCCCTAGGCGGCAGGAACCTGGAGGGAGGCGGAGGAATATGTCCGAGAGGGAAGTGTCGACAGCGCCGGCGGGAACAGACATGCCTGCGGCCAAGAAGCAGAAGCTGAGCAGCGACGAGAACAGCAACCCCGACCTCTCCGGGGATGAGAATGTGAGTGCCGCCCGGAGCAGTCCCACAGGGACTCTGGAGCGAAGTTTTTAGTTCTTTTGAAACTCGGCGCGGGGGCTGGCGGGCGCCTGTGGGGGAGGGAGAGGTGTCACCCTCCACCTCTGGAAAACGCGGGCGTGCTAGGAGAAAGTCGGGCTGTTCTCTGGGGATTTTTGAGCTTGGGCCGAGGGCCGGCGACGGAGTGGTTTAGAAAGAGAGGTGGACGCAGGGGGTGCATTGAAATCCTTTTTGTGGAGGCTGAATGGTCGGGCCTTGGGGGATCGGGGGAGGCGTGCGAATCCGAGTCCGCGAGTTTAAAAGGCACGAGAGGCGATTGTGAGAAAGTTGGAAGGGAGGCCAGAGTGTGTTAGAAACTCTGCTGAAGAAGCTTAGTGACTGTGTGCGCCACTCTTAGACCCTAGGATTGTGCGGGGTGGGAAGAGTGAGGGAGTTTGGAGGACTCATTTAAAGGGGGGGTTGTGTTAACGCCTGTCCTGTCAGTAGATGTTGTTCCTGACAGGCGGTTTTCAGGTGGAGCAGAATTTCCCCAGAGAGAGGGAAAGCGATTGGCTTCGAGGAAGGAAAGAGCTCGGACGGTGGTGATTCTTTTTGAAACTTTTGACTAAGATAAAAGGGACGACCTGGAAGATTTTAGGCAACGGTGATAAAAAGCACTGATAAATGTCTGTAGTGTAGACTCGTGGCCTCGCAAGTGTAAGAAGTTTTGGAATCAGAGATTTTTTTAAGTTCTGTAATCATCTCGTTCCAACAGTTGACCCAGATTTGTTTAAGTAAATCCTCAGTGATAACCGAATTGAGATAAATACTTTTTTGAGTTTTAAGTTTACATCCACTAAGGTTAGCAAAAATGACTTGACGATTCATTCAAAACAACTACCCCCAAACGTGATCCCACTTCTCATAATAATTGACAGTAGCATCTATCTGTTTAAAATCTAATTTAAAGTATTACGGAGAAATGGTGTTAAGTTCTCCGTTTGGCTGGTTTTAGGAGTAACTTACATTTTTACACACCCAAGTCTAAAATTCTGCATCACTCTCACTCACTAAAGCATAAATATGACATAGTGTCGTGACTATAATGTGAAAGAAGTTTTGTAGATAGAGATGTTGTGGGAATTGTATGTGGGATTTGAACTTGGAAGTTTCTGGAGAGTTTGAATGTTGAATAAGTACTTTAAATCTCTTTTTCCTCTTGTGCTTCTCAAGCTTGGCATGTATTGGGTTCTAACATTTTTTTTTGTTTTCTTCACTCCAGACTTTGGAACCCTGTTTTTGCATTTCCTTAAATTTCTCTAGGAAGATTATGTTAGGGGCACAGATACTGTCAATAACTATTGGGACTAAGGAAAATTTCAAAGGTCCAAATAATTGAAAACTTTTTTTCTTTTTGCAGACCCTGGAGGGATTGTATTTAGTGTGGTTGGATTAAGTCTTTGTTTTGGTTTCTCCATTTGGGTAGGGATTTACTACATCTTTTGTGCCTGGATAGCATAATGAGGGCCAAAAGCAAGTGGGAAAGAATGCTGCTTCTGAGTTGGAATTGTTTAAAAAAAAAAAAAAAAACCTGGGTAAATCTAGAGATCTAATTGACATTTTAATGAATCTAGCAGCATCTCACTGCTGCAAATAGAGAGGTGCCCCGCGGAGTTGTACAAAATGGATGGTTTTAATAGAGGGTGGGACAAGAAAAGAAAGAAAGCCACCTTCCCTTAAGGGAAGGCAGGGGGTCTTATCAATGCACTCTAGTGCTGACAGGAAATTCCTCCTTGATTCCTTTAAATTTTCACATTTGGGAGAGGCTGAAACTACAATTAAATTAGTTATTAAACTTTGATGGGGTTTAGCATAAACTCCATTTTGGTCCCGTTTTCCTTTTTTTAAGCTAAGTTAAGGTATCTTGAGCAATGACTACTGTTAAAGTGAATCACATAATTGAAAGGGCATGCTTAAATTTATTGACTACTTATCCCCACCTTTTTAAGGTCCCGCACAGTAGTTTCGGGAAGAGTACCCCAGGTACTCTTTACTCTGGTAGTAAGACTTTACTCTGGTAGTAAGATTAGCTGACTGAATCCAAAGACTTTTGCTTAAGTAAACCCTCTAGCAAAAAGAAAAGGAAAATTACAACCCCTGTCTGTATCCTTGTTTGGCACGCGAAGATGGAAGTCGCGTCTTGGGCACAGTATCTTCTATGTTGCATAGGTGGAATCGCCCTGTATACAATATTAATCAGCAAGGTTTTAATTTAATTTATAGATTAAATGAAAACATTTTGACTATGTGACAGTTTCATTTGATCTCTTTTTGATTCCCTTTTGGACAAGAGTAGATAAAAATATGCAGTGTATCCTAACATTCTCAATACATGGCTTACTTAGTTGACTTTTTAGCAAAAATGTAAAGGAGCTGGAATATGTCTAAAAGTTTTGTTTTATTTCTGTACTTACAAGATACTTTTCAGAAAAAGGTTAAGTAAATAAGTGTTAAAATTTTGTCAAACAGTACACATTATATAAATGAAAGGAGAGGTGAAATTGTAAATGGAGACAAACCTTTTTTCGTTGGAAAGACATCTTTAAAAATTTTAAGAGCGCTGAAAGGTAGTGAAAAGGGTTATACATAGTGTATGGTTTTCCATAGAAACAAAATTGTTTTCAAAATTTGCAGATATGGGGTATAACTAAGTGGTTTGATGGAGTTTGGGAAAAGAGCAAATAAAAAATAGTTTCTGCACTAGATTTTATCTAAATACAAGGAGAAATAGAAAAGGTGATTTCAACCAAACACTGGACTGATAATATTTACATTAAATTACTTTTCATATATTTGAGCACCTCTGTGCCAACTATCCACTCATTCCTTATATAATTTTAATAAGTATTTTTCAGAATATATATTTGTGATTTTTTTTTTAAGCACTTCATTTTGGTAGGAACCTTCTGAGGGTTTGAAAACCACGCTCAAGAAATGTTGCACAACATTGTTTTTAAGTCACTTAATATGGACTTTTAATATAGGTTTTGACATTCCAATTAATTTTTAACCTTCAGTAATACAAAACTAGTTTTGTTACAGGACAGGGAGAGAGGCACCATTGAACCCCTAAACCTGCCTGTTCTAAATAGGTTCTGCCATCCACCACATCAAGACAAGGCATAAGAGCTTTAATAAGGAAAGGAACTTTAAATATAAAGGGTGTGCAATACAGAAAAGACAAAGAATATAGTTTCTAAGTCAAACACCCAAAGTTACCCATCCCCTCGTGGGAAAAGTCCAACCAAAAGGGACTGGCCCAAAGCAAGACCTGAAAGCCCGCCACAAGCCTAAAGCACCTTCTGGCCAGGACCCATAGAAAGGGGTCAGATATGTCCAGACAAGTCTGGGAGAAAAAGAACAAAATAAAAATCAAGATAAACGCTGCCATAGTTAACCTCCCCATGCGACTCTCACCCCGCATCTGTTTCAATCAGTCAGGGCCAAGAAACAAGCATGGTTTCTTCACATGTCTCTGCTCCATGTGGCTCCCTTGGGTCACCTTCTGGCTCCATCCTGCTTCATTCTTCAGACTCCTTCTCTCCACTCCTCTCCCCTTTCTCTTCCCCTCAGCTCCACCTTCATTCTGGGTAGGGCAAGGAACCTGGAACTTCCCCTTTTCCTGGGGACCACCCTGTTACAAATTTAAAAGTAGTAATTTAGAAGTAAATTACTGAGGCAGTGGTTCTTAGACTATGTTCTAAGTTAATAGGTATTACATGGAAATAGACTTCCTCTGTAATGAATTGAGGAATTATTACTCTAAAGTGATAGGTTTAAAATAGATCTCTTTTTCCTGAAGAATTTATAGGACTATGTAATGAAAGAAGGTTGTAAAACCCTCTTTTGAGGATTGAGGGCCACTAATAATATCTTGTGGACTAGAGAGAGTATAAATTCAGTAAATTTTCAAGGTATTCTGCCCTACATTTAGGAGATTTACTTTTAACTAGAGAGTTACTGAAGAGCTAATATAAGTATCATTTTTACTCTAGAGCTATGAGGCAAATTTTACTTGCAAGTAGCACAAAAGATATAAGACTTAAAAAAATTCTAAGTGACTTCAGTGTTAAAAAAACAGTAGAATTTGAAGAAAATAACAGGGTTTTCAAAAGTTGAATTTAGAGTAGGGAGCACTAACACTCCAGCCTCAAAGTTACCCACCCCTATGCTCCAAATTGAGCAGCAGTTAAAGAAATTACGAAGATTTGTGTTCAAATCTTCAGATTTAATTTTATTTAGGAACCAGAGCTTTGGGTTTGAAACCCAGCAAACCAAACTAGTAGGAGACCAGATAGGCTCTCTAAGCAATCCATATTGATCCAGCTGTACCATTTGGGAAGGTTTATGAATCAATGTGGCAGAGGGGCAATTCACTTGTATAGCAAATTCTACTGCTAGCAGGTTCACTTTTTATCCCTACTTGGAGCAGAAGTACCTTTTTCTGTTTCTTGTAAAAATTATTAATAAGTTCATTTAGTTCATTCAGCAGCTACTAAGAATAAATAATTTGCTTCTAAATATATTGCTGTTTGATATAATTTTTCCTAATTTACTGTTTATAGGATGATGCTGTCAGTATCGAAAGTGGTACCAACACTGAACGCCCTGATACACCTACAAATACGCCAAACGCACCTGGAAGGAAGAGTTGGGGGAAGGGAAAATGGAAGTCAAAGAAATGCAAATACTCCTTCAAATGTGTAAATAGTCTAAAGGTACATGTGACTATTAATAACCTTCAGAATTATTTCTCAGTAGTAACGTTATGGTTAAGACATTAGTCAAGTTTTAAATATTTTAAAATTATAGTACTTTTATGTTTTTATTGTAGTGCAGATTACAAAGTGATTTGTGTCCATTCCACATCTGGTTATTTTGTTTTGATTTAAAATGGGTAATAGTAAAGTAGGCTGTTTATAATTTTTTAAATGCTTTTACTAGTAAAAAGACTTTGGGAAATACTACTCTTCATAATTTGAAATAACCTATAAACATAACCCACTTTCTGGTACCTGTTTCTAAAAACTGTTAACTTTGAACCAGCATACATTACAACAGATGTAAAAAAATTTAAGTAGTCTTCAGAAAGCTGAAGAAGCTATACCTCTATGGAAATTATTTTCCTTTGGTAGAGCAGTATTCATTACTGACTGTCTTAAAAAAGGGAAATATCTTAGAATATTTAAAAAAAAAACAGCAAAATAACACCACTTTGTGTCTATTTAATTATATTAAACCTATTTTTAGGTAGCATGTCCAAGGGTGTTTTTAACTGTTGCTTAAATTTTTCAAAAACCTAAAGGTGTCAATTTTTTTAAAGATTTATTTACTTATGGCCCTCCCTGATGGTGCAGCAGGTAAAAGCACAGCACTAAGAAGCCAAAGCCACTGCAGCATGAGTTTGATTCTCGACCTGGAGGTGATACACATGGCGTGGCAGACCTCTCCTGACCTGCCTGCTGCTCCTCTCAGCAGTGTTTTTAGCCAGTTCTGCCTGTTCTGCTCCCCACTCTGTCTCTGGTGAATCCTCTCACCTTCCTACACCTCTGGCCTATACCCCAGTTCTGTATGCATAAATAAAAAAGATTTATTTACTTACTCATACAAGAACTGGGATACAGGCCAGAGATACAGGGGGTTGAGAGCATTAACTGGGCCATGTGGGTCACCCACTGGCCAGGGATTGATTCATGCTGCAGTGACTGAACAGCCTCATAGTGCTGTTCCCCAACCCATTGCACACTGGGGTCAAGATGTGACTTTTCAAAGGATAAAAATAAAAGTTGTTGTACCTTAAAAACGAAAACAGTGTGTTCAGCTAACTATGAAAGCTACTATTGAATACCAAGAGATTGCTAGTGAAATCCTAATGCTAAAAAATAGCTTCTTGAACAACAGTGAGTAGTTTTGTATACCTCTTTACAATTTCTGGTAACTGTCAAGTTATGCTCTGTTCACTCCTATTTGCCTCACTATCTAAGTAGTCTTGTTTGTATAAAATTTCTTTGGATGTTTCACGTTTAGAACTCAAATTTAGGGTTAACTTACACTTGTCTTTATAAAACTAATATAAAACAGTAATTTGAGTGGAGTTCTGAAGTGCTTCACTTTACCAAGGGAAATTTGAACCTAATAAAATTTAGTGAGTGTGGTCCTCTCTGGTGGCCAATGGGTTAAAACACTGCATTACGCATTAGGAAGCTCTCCAAAGCCACTATTACACAGCAGTGTATTTTACTAGATTGCCTGTTCTGCTTCCCACTCTGTCTCTGGTGAATACTCTCACCCCCTGCACCTCTGGCCTATATCCCTGTTCTGTAAGCATAAAGAAATCTTTAAAAAAAAAAAAATTTAGTGAGTGCAAGCCTAGCTTTATTAATGCTTAGGTAATTTGTTTCCTAAATCAGGAAAATATAACTTCCTGGTTTATTTTGATTCAGAAGTCTATGGTTGGTGTTAAGGTGGTAAAAGACAAATATCAAAGTATTTTCATCGATGGGTACTAATTCCCTAACCTGATTTCAGTTAAGTCAGTTATTAAAAAAACAGCCATGTCACTATTTGAAAATGTCAGAACTAGAGTAGATGTCTTTAGTGTCGGGTCAACTTTTCGTATACAAAAGAGCAGCTTGCACTTTGGGAAAAAGCCACTAGGAGGATGGTCCATTAACCAATTTTTATTTCTAAAATGTATTAATTTGTTTTAAATTTCATGCTTATCTTACAGGAAGATCATAACCAACCTTTGTTTGGAGTTCAGTTTAACTGGCACAGTAAAGAAGGAGACCCACTAGTGTTTGCAACTGTAGGAAGCAACAGAGTAAGTACTGAGGGCTCTCGTTAGCTATTGGCTATTATCAGACTGGTATTTTATAAATATTGAAATGTATTTTGAAGTAAAGTTTATTTATCTCTTGACAGTATTTTCTGATATAAAAGGAAAGCTTTTTAGGAATCGTCAGATCAAAACTAGTATTAATGACTGAAATTACATTTTATTTCATATTTTTCTCCCAGTTGCTCATGAAACAGGTTTCTATTTCTGCTTTGTACTTTGCCCCAAAGTTTGGACTTTTTTTTAAAAATAAGGGAAAAAAAGGAAATATCTCTTGGAATATAACCTAGTTAGCAGTCGTATAAAGAATATTTTTCAAAAATATCAATATAGATGAGATTTTATTAATATGTAATGGTAGATGATTCAGAAACTCAGTTCTTCTGTACTTATAGGCAATGCTAACATAACTATAGGTGTAAAAAAGCTGGACAGAAATTTACATTTAGAATTACAGAATGCTAGATTAGATTATATGGCAAATAAAGGCCCATGAGATAGTCATTAGTAGACAAAATATATGGTCTTTGTAATTAAAACATAAATGCCCTATGCCTACCCTAAGATTTTTTTCTTTTCCTCTGCTTTCTTTTCTCTCCCAAGTTAGATCATGTATTTATTTTTTCCATAATCTTTGCTTTATTTAGAGTCATGTAGTATCATTGGAAAAGAAACTTCCTTTTTTTACTGTTTTTTTCCCCTGCCACCATCCTTTATATCCTCTGTTCCTTTCCTTAACCCCTTCCCTTTTTAACCTGAGAGCCTTTATAGTGTTTATTAATTTGACCAATTTTTCTAAATATTTTACCTTTATTGAGTTGTCTGCTGTGTAAATGTCCGGTATTTGTTTTTATCATTCTGACTTGCTTTACTGCTAGTAATTTTCTCAAACTTCCTCCATTGTGTTGAAAATGGTATTTCATCCTTTCTTATGATGAATACTACAGAGTACAGATACACCACCTCGTCTTAATCCAAATCCAGTCCTCTACTGATGGAAATTCAGTTGGCTTCTATGTCTTAGCTATTGTATATAATGCTGCTGTCAACATTGTGGAACGTGTGGCTTTTTGTGTTGATGGTTTCATATTTGGATAGATGCGCCAGTGGGGTTGCTTGGTTGTACATTTCTTCAGTTTTTAATTTTTTAAGGTAAATCCAGATTGTGTTCCATGGTGGAACTACCGTATTATACGCCTACCAGGAGAATAATAGGGTTCCTCTTTTTCTCTATCCTTGCTGGCACCTGGTGGTTTTCTAGTACTATGTCAGTCTCACCAGTTGTGATAGTATGTCATGGTTTTAACTACATCGCTCTCATTGGAAACAGCAATGAGCATTGTTTATTATTATTACATTTTCTTTGGTGAATTGTTTCTTCATATCTGCTGCCTGTTAATTAGGGTGTTTGTTTTTATTGTTAAATTGTGAATTTTATATTTCTTGGATATTAGCCTCTTATCAAGTAAACATTGCATGGCTGTTATCTTCAGTACAGTCCCTCCTTAAAAAAAAAAAAAGATTTTAAAGATGTGGTACATATATACAATGGAATATTACTCAGCAACCAAAAAACAGAAACACATGTCTTTTCAGCAACTTGGATAGAGCTGGAAAAGATCATGCTTAGTGAGATAAGCCAGAAAGCGAAAGAAAAATACCGGATGGTTTCACTTATAGCAGGAGTATAATGGACCAGGCGAGAAAATAACAAAAATAATGAACAAACCATATACCAGAGATATTTTGCGGGGGTGGAGTGGGGAATGGGATCAAAAATGGGGGAGAGGATGCACGGGTGACTTGGTGATGGGAAACCCGCGGGGATTACAATTGAGATGGGGGAAAAATGTACAAAATGATGTAAAAATAAACTTTTGTAATAATAAATAAATAAATAAAAAGATTTATGTATGTATACAAGAACTGGGTGTGGGCCTGAGGTGTGGGAGGTGAGAGGATTCACCAGAGACAGAGTGGGGAGCAGAACAGGTAGATCTACTGAAATACACTGCTAGAGGGAGCAGCAGGTGAGACAGGAGAGGTCTGCTGTATCATGTGGGTCACCTCCCTGCCTGGGGGTTGGACTGTGCTACAGTGGCTATTGAAAGCTTCATCACCTTTGCTTTTAACCCCTTGCCACCAGGAAGGACCTGAAGTATCTTTTTAATCTTTTCATATTTTCTTTTGCTGTGTAAGTACTTTTAACTTGAGTTAATTCCAACTGTTTATTTTTATTTCCCTTGCATAGTGGTTGAGCCACCAAAAAATATTTGATGTCATGCAAGATAACACCAATGTTTTCTTTAATGTATTTTATTGTTGTTAATACATTTGGAATTGATTTTTGTGTTTGGAGTTAGGAAGTGATCCAACTTCATTATTTTGTAAGTGGCTTTCCAATTTTCTCAGCACCTTCATTAAAGAGATTGTCCTTTCTCCATAACTGCTGTTATCAGAGATTATATATTGACCTATATGTGGGTTTATTTCTGGCTTTCAGATCTTTTCCACTATCTGTATCCATTTTTGTGTCAATACTGTATTGTTTTCAGTACTGTTGTTTTTTTATTACAGTTTGAAATTTGGTAACATGATACCTCCATTTCTTTTTCTCAGAATTATCTTTGCAATTCAAAACCGTTTGTACTTTTCTTTAAGTTTCAGTATTCTGTTTCTTTGAAAAATTAGCATTTTAATGAAGACTTAGGTTTTAGGTGGAATAGTGGTTTTGATTTTGCTGATTTCCCCTATCTATGAACATGGAATGTCCTTACACCTCCATATGTCAATGTCTCAGTTAGTGATAGTTTCACTTCTCAGACTCCAAAACCTTTAACACTGAGTTAAGCAGAAGTGATGGCAGTGAATATCACCTTGTTCTTGATCTTAAGGAGAAAGCTTTCAGTTTTACAGTATTATATTGGTTGATAGTTTCTGTTATGTGGCTTTTATTGTGTTGAGGTAGGTTCCTTTTATTACTGTGTTAACGAGTTTTAGTCATAAGGGGGTGCTGAATATTATCAGTGGCTTTCTCTGCACCTTGATATTCCCATGACCTTTATCTTTGTTGTATTAAAACAATGATGTTTTACTTCAATTTAGGTATATTAGACCATTATTGCATCCCTGGGATAAATCCCACTTGGTCATGGCATATAATCCTTCAGATACTTTGTTGAACTTGATTTGCTAATCATCTTGTTGAAGATTTTTGCATTGATGTTCATCAGACTTGATGATCTGTAATTTTCTTTTGCTATCTTTGGTTTTGGTATGGAGCTGTGTTGTCGTTGAAAAATGTATTAGTGAGTACTTCCTCTTGTATTTTTTTTTTTTTTTTAAGATTTTATTTATTTGCAGCTGGGGTACAGGCCAGAGCTGCAGGGGGCAGAGACAGAGTGGGGAGCAGGACAGGCAGATCAACAAAGTACACTGCTGAGGGGAGCAGCTGGCAGGTCAGGAGAGGTCTGTTGAGCTATATGGATCACCTCTGGGACAGGTGGGATCGAACTCATGCTGAAGTGGCTTTAGCTTCTTAGTGTTGTGCTTTAACCCACTGCGCCACCAGGGAGGGCCTCCCTCTTGTATTTTAAAAATGTTTTGAGCAAGATAGGCATTCGTTCTTCTCAAAAAATGCATAAAATTCATTTGTAAAGTCATCTGCTCTGTTATTTTGGGGTAGGGAGATTTTTTTGTTGTTGTTGCTTCAATTCTATGCTTCTGATCATTTTATTTAGATCGTGCATTTTCCTCCTGGATTGGTTTTGGTAGATTATATTAATCCAGAAATTTGTTTCTTTAAAATTGTTGAATTTATTTGGTATATAATAGCTCATAATAACCTCTTATCCTTTGTTTTTCTGTATTATCCATGGTAATTTATCCTCTGTTATTTGCAATTTTTTTTTTTTTTTAAGATTTATTTATTTGTGCATACAGAACTGGGATACAGGCCAGAGGCTCAGGGGCGGTGAGAGGCTTCACCAGAGACAGTGGGGAACAGAACAGGCAGATTGACAAAGTACACTGCTGAGGGGAGCAGCAGGCAGGTCAGGAGAGGTCTGCCACACCATGTGGTCACCTCCGGGGCAGGTGGGAATCAAACTCATGCTGAAGCGGCTTTAGATTCTCAGTGCTGTGCTTTAACCCGCTGAGCCACCAGGGAGGGCCTACAATTCTTTTTTATTAATTTTTTCTCTCTTCTTTATTTACCTAGCTAGTAGTTTTATCTTTTTTTATCTTCAGAAAAAGCCAACTTTTACATTCATTGATTTTATTTTTTATTCATTTATTTTACTTTTATGTAGTCTGAGCTGTTTATCTTCATTTTCTTTACTTATGGAGATGAATTTTCAATGATGTTTCTGAGATGTATTAGAAAGTCTTTTGCTTATGCTTTCTTCTATGTATTTTATGGTGTCAGGTCTTACATGTAAGCCTTTTATCCATTTTGAGTTGTTTTTTTGTGCATGGTGAGAGGTAGTAGTCTAGTTTCATTCTTTCGCATGTGGTGGTCCAATTTTCCAGCACTATTTTTTGAAGAGACTTTCTGTGTTCCAGTTTATGTTCTTTGCTCCTTTGTCCCAGATTAGTTATCCATTTATGTTGACTTTATTTCTGGACTTTGGGTTAAATTACATTGGCCTGCCTGTTTTTGTTCCAGTACCATGATGTTTTTATTATTGTGGCTTTTTATTATAGCTTGGGAGATCAGTACCTCTATGTTTTTCTATTTGAAGTTTTTTTGATTCCATGTGAAGTTCAACATTCATGAAATGTTCCATTTCTTTGAAAAGTGACATTGAGATTTTTATTGAACTGAATATATAAATTGCTTTTGATAGAATGGCCATTTTGATAATGTTAATTTCTTCCAGTCCATGAGCAGAAGGATGTCTTTCCATTCGTTTGTGTATTCCTCTATTTTTTTTT